ACCTTCTCAGGCAGAGCAAAGGTGAGCGCTCTCAATCTTTCTATTCCACTTTGTACTGGACATCATAGAAAATAAAGGAAACAAAGATAGTTTTTAGATTGGAAATTTTAAAAAAGTAAAATTGTCAGGGGGGGGTGGTGGTGATGCATGTCTTTAATCCCAGCACTCAGGAGGTTGAGGCAGGTGGATCTCTGCATTCAAGGCCAGCCTGATCTACAGAGAGAGTCCAGGGCAGCCATGGATACACAGAGAAATCCTGTCTTGACAAACCCAAAATTAATTAATTAAACTGTCTTTATTTGTAAGCTGTTGTTAATGTGTAGAAAATTTATGGAATCTACAAAAATAAACCTATTAAATGATATTAGAGTAGATCCTAGAATAAATAAAAGTTCAACACACACATACACACACGCACATATACACACACATACACACACACACACGTGTACATTGTGTTTCCCTATATTTAGATCAAGACACTTGCACTGGAATACAAATACGAAATAAATTAGGGATGAACCTGAGTAAGAGCTGTAGGACTGCTCACTGTGGCAGGGCTGGGGGGCTGGGGGTGGGGCATCCTGGAAGAAATCAAAGACCTGAATAAATAAGAGATGGGTTGATTTTATAGCTTCTGAGAGTCTTATTGTTACCAATCCTGTTTCTCTAAAATTATCTCTGAAGTTCATTAAAATCTGGCAGGTCCCAGCCCGCCTTGGGTAGAAACTGACAAGCTAAACCTAAAGTGACAGGAAACTGAGAATCCGGATCCCAGAAATGATGTTGCAGGAAGTTTTCAGGTACAGATGTGGCAGCTTCAATACCAGTTCCAGCAGAGTGGCAGCCAAGGCAGGGTCAGGTGGAAGAGCAGGCAAACAAGATGGAGACGTCAGAAGACACGGGCACACTCGATCAGTGTTTGACGAAGATGAAAAAGCTATGTAAGTCTAGAAAGAAGAAGAATCTTTTAAACAAAACATACAGGAACCGCTGAAGGGTGTGTATGATGTGTGTGTGGTGTGTGTGTGAGTGTATGTGTGCATGCATGTGTGTGTGGTGTGTGTGAGTGTATGTGTGCATACATGTGTGTGTGCGCGTGCACGTGTGTGTGCATGCATGTGTGTGTGAGTGTGTGTAGAAGGAAAACTAGAGACTGCAGACAGCTGTGATACAGATGTTATAGCATGTACAGCAAATAGCTCAAAATAGACCAGAGACCTAGATGTAACCCTAAAACTATAAAACGTTAAGAAAAGAATATAAGGGAAAAATGTCTCTGTGGCTTTAATCTAGGCAACTCACATAACATCAAAAGCAAACCTTTTAAAAATATTAAATTGGGCTGGGCTTGGTAGCACACATCTTTAATCCCAACACTCAGGAGGCAGAGGCAGGCAGATCCCTGAGTTTGAGGTCAGCCTGGTCTACAAAGTGAGTTCTAGGACAGCCAGGACTATACTGAGAAACCCTGTCTCGAAAAATCAAAATATACATATATTTGGATTTCATCACAACAAAAGACATACATTCTTCAAAGGATAGTTAGGAGAATGAAGTGATATGCCATAGTCTGATGGGAAATAATAGCAAACTGCATAATATATAAAAGGATTGTCAATTCAATAATAAAACAAATGACCTAATAACAGGGTAAGGGCCCAGGCCAGTTTTATGAGGATGGTGGCCGAGGAGAATGGAAAGAGTGGGCAGCTAGGATTATCACAAAGAGTACCAGGAGCAGCCTGATGGCGGACACGTCCCTCACATCACTAGCTCTATGATTGTCCATACACATGTTATGTAGAGTTTTTATACATGCAACATAGAACTTACCAAATCGTACATCAAATAGGTACATTTATTGTATGTCAGTTATACCTACTTTTGTAAATTTGATATCCCCATTAATAAATTGTATAGGATCTCATGTGTTTTTCTCTGTATCAAGTCACCTTTCTGTTCTTTCCTTTCTGTGTATGTTTTTGTCTTTCACCTTTCTGTGTTTTCTGTCCAAATTCGGAATTAATTTAAACACCCTATTTTATGCTGATATATGTGACAGTCTTAGCAAATTGTTTATAGTAAGATGCAGAATGTTGCTTAAAGACTTCAGGAAGCCTCTTACATTTGTCCATCTAAAAGAGACCCACAGCCTGAGGACCCAAGGGTGGAGGAGAGAACAGACTACAAGTTGTTCCTTGTCCTCCACACATGAGCTGTGGTACATGTGTGTGGATGTATGTTCACACATGCACACAAAAATACATAAATGATAAACAATTTCAAAAGAACAATAAAATGTACCACAAAGGAGACTGTCCGTAGAATGTGGTTCTTATTCCATTCTGTGTGATCAAAATTTTTGCTACATTGTCTAATCTCATTCATTCACTAATTTATTCACTCATTCCTCCACCAAATGTATTACTGTGGCAGGATTTGAAAATCCAAGACTTTGATAGTAAATTTACTTGAATGAACATCTGTGTACAGCTACAGTTTATGTATTACATGAAACCCTACTAACATTAAAGGTAGAATTCTGACTTCTGGGTGGTTTGATTGTATGTGACATACTATCCTTTAAAAATAAGAAAAAAAATGCCAAATGACTCCACGAACTTCTGTATCTGGAGCACAGAATTAATGAAATTGAGTTCTTGTTTCGAAAACTAAGTTTTCTGAGTTGTACTGTTTGCTGTGTGAATTCATGAGTGCAGTGGGAATGGATGGGGGTATGCTGTCACTGTGGGATTCCTATTTCTTGATACACAAACCCGTTTGAAGATCTATTTATTTTTTCTCCTCAGGCAAGGAAGATTCCTGTCCTTTTTAATTTCCTTTTCTTGGGCATGTTACAAACATCCTCCCTGTGTTTCCTCGGTTCTATTGTAGTGGAGCCAATTCCTCATTTTCTCTGCCTCTCACCTGCTTCTGTCTACTTATTGTGTCTAAGACGTCAAAGGAGAGCCAAAGGCAACACCTCGAAATGCCGCCTTGGAAAAACGAAAATGCCAACCAATGCTTTTCTGCACCTGAAGCTTTTAATTCTTTAATCCACCATGGAATGTTGCTTAATTACATATTTTATTATGCAGAACTGAAAATTATGTACTTTAGTCTCCAAAATGATAGGAAAGCACGGACTGTTTATAAATAAAGAGATGCTGTTTGCCTCTGGTTTTCCTCTTACATGTATCTGTGGGGTTCTCCCAGGTTTGCCTCTTAAAACTTGGCATTTTGAAAATTCTTAGGAAGCTCTGGAGAAAAAAAGCAAAAATTTAAAATTTCCTCTAGAAATTTACTTGGCAAAAATGTAGCATGATGCTGTGGTATTATACTGGACAGCTGGTTTCCTTTGGTTAGTGGTTTTGTCTTAATTTCAGTGTATTTCAAAAAGTATTAATAGAAAAACATTAAAATTATTGAGCTGAAGAATACATCTATGGTCCATTTATTTTTCTTTTCCATAGTTTTGTGTGTGTGTGTGTGTGTGTGTGTGTGTGTGTTGTTTTTCACAGTTTTTCTAATAGTTCTTAAAGAAAAAAATTGTTGTGTATAACTCTCATTCATATGCAGACAGCAGAATTTGGGGTTATTATCTCAGGGTAAACACATCTCATATACTTGATTTAAATCAGTGTTCAACTTTTTCTTTTAACAAAATACATGTTCCTTTTTATCTGGGAAAGCACTGAATTGCACCGTTTTTGAGAAATTTGTTGAGAAAATGGGAAAATTGGACTTGAGGTTCATGTGGCCACTTTGTAGCTGAGCAAGTCAGTTAACCTATTTGAGCTTCCTTGTTCGCTTGCCTCTGAAGTGGGGATGTTAGTGTCTCCTGTAAGTGCCTCCTAGTGGGGTGGAGAGCTTTAAATAAGACACGGTGATGTCTTATAGGATGAAGCACTCTTCAAATGTTGCCGTCAGCTTAAATACATTGGAAGACAATGCTAGCAGAAAGGCCTCAGCAGGAAGGCTGCCTTTATATATAACTGCAAACAAGAGGGGTTGTCCCCTCTTGTTGTCCCCACATGCTGTTCAGCAGGACTGCGCCCCGAACAAAATGCTCCTTTGGATTGTGTTGCTACGGGGGCAACACATTAGCACACACCTTAAATACGCATACTTGAACATTCTGGTCTAGCAGGCACTGGCAGGCCTTTCAGGACACCTCTTCTTCCCTGGGAGACGTTAAGGCGTGGATGAAAGACTGTCACTAGAATGAAGACCTATCTGAATGTATTTCCGACCGAGCTCACAGTGGTGTTCAGCATTTAACTTGGTGCAAAGGAGGTCACTTTGCGGCTTCTCTGCTCTTACCTTGCACACTCCATTGAATCTCTCTCCAGCCACAATTAAGGACAATTCCAAGTCAAGTGCTTTGGCTACCGTGGGGTGTATCCGCAGCTGCAAGTATCCCACAGGAAAAGATGACTTCGTACCCATCTTTGGCTCAAGGAAAATAGCCATAGCTGAATTTTAGTAGTGTTCTTTTCATAAAATTAAATGTGTGTGTGTATGAAAGTATGTGTATATAAGTATACATCTATATAGAGGAATATGAGAAAGGCTTAAAAATGTTGCTCGTATTTTAAACATTAATTCCAAACTATTTTTATTTAACATATAGTATTGTTAAACAGGTATAGTATTCTCAGCATAGACCTTCCACCACATCTCGTTAGAGGGCACTTCATATTTTATCAAAAATTGTGCGTATTAATAGATTGTAGCTCAACTTTTGTCTAAAGACATGCAAGTATCCACTATTTACATTTAAAGGGTTGCTTCAGAGCAAATGCTGAATCCAAGAATAGGCCCCTTCTAAGAATTCCTTCTAGGAACAGTTTGGATGACTCCTGTTTGGAGCTGCTGGGTTCCCACACTGCCATCCACATTTCTAGCTGGCATTAGCACAATAGACTCATCCCCAATGCTATTATAATACAGGCCATATACATTTTAATTGCTCTTGTTGAAATATCACCAGGCAGTTCATAATATCTCATTTATTGAAAATATTGTGACAATCAAGGACCTTGTTATCAGCCAAATGTGAACCATTGAGACTAGGGAAGAATTTGATAATAGCATTTGTGGGACATTCATTTTAGTCAATCCTGAACATTTCAACTTTTTCTATTCAAGCTATGTAGTTTAGATAAGCATAGTTAACTATAGATACTACTAGGGGTGGACACTTAAGTTCAGATTTCTTAGTACTAAATGCCAGTCATACACATTTTATACATATGTACAGACTTTGTTACCAAGTGCCACACAAGTAGGGCACACATATTAGTTACCTTGGTTTTCAAAGGTTATGTGTCAACTCTGCATATTGTGTGGCAGGAAGATACTATCAACATCATTTTTTGCATAATGTGCAAGTATTATATGGCCACAGAGTGTAATACAAATTAGTGGCAAAGTGCTGAGTGAAGGAATCCATGACAGACTCGGATGCACACGGTTGAATATTACCCGTAAACAACCTGACTCTGCTAAGGTCTTAACAGCACGAAGGACTATGTCATGCCCAGTGTTAAAACATCTCTGAAATATCGGGACACAATGAAGCTTGCTAAAGAAACTTTACCAATAGCCATAGGCAACAGGAAGAAGAGAGACATGGGTGACAATGACATTGAGGGAATAATATGGATCACTAGGAGAAAGCTTCAAAAATATGCCATCTTCAGCCATTCTGCTCACTCAATTGTGACCATCACCATTTGCTAACATGTGCTTTATCCTAAAGTAACAAAACTACGTAGACCTTAAATGGTGTAGCTTTCCAACATACTCATGTTCTAGGAAAGCTCTTTCAAAAGAATGCAGACTGTTAGAAATGGGAAAAATCTTACTAGCAACCTGATTTTCTCCTTCTAAATTACTATCAGATTTTCTGTTTGATGTCAATAGTGCTGGGATGTCTAAAATGAAAAAGTACATCAATTTCTACCTGATTCTCTGTCAACTCTTAAACTTGGGGAAAAGGAGGACGTGGGTGACAATCTTTAGTGACATGTTAGTTTTTTAGTTTTTTCCTTTAACATTTAAAATTTAGCTTACATCATCTTAATTCAAATGCCTTTAGCTTAAATGGTTACTTTTCTGAACTCCAGAAGACAAGAAGGTTTGCATTGTTTTCTCATTTGATAAAAGGAATTGAAATTAGTTTGCAACAAAGCAGCAGCCTTCTGAGTCGCTCAGCTGTGTTTCCCAGCAAAGCAGCAGAGGAGTTTCCAAGGAGCTCGTTCTACAGTCACAGGCCATGCAGTCCCCTGCATGAGCTCACCAGGACTGAGGAAAGGCTAACTAAAGGGTAGCTCAGAGCCCTGACTCCATGTACCCATACATCCCCATTAACACTTAGGGGGCCTAACAAATGGATACAAAAGGCAAAGAAACAAAATGAAAAAAAGAAAACAAATAAAAAACGAAGTTTCCCTAGAACCTCACACCTTGCCCTTACGCCCAGACTGCCACAATACGGTGTATGGTGCAAGATTAGAAGATGGTGTTTGAATTCTAGGGGTGTTAATCTTACTTTCTTCATGTAGTTCTCAGTTTTGACAAAGGAAGCCAAAAGAACTCAGGGTTATTGTACCTTCCTTACTTATCACTTGTAAAACAAATCAACACCAAGCCAAACAACCCCCTCCCCTAAAACAGTTAGTAGGAAGGGTTCTCACACAGAAGGTACATTTGTTCTCTTATTTATGCTATTGATGGCTTTGAAAAATACACCCTCGCTTAAAGGAAAGTATTGCCGTAATTGGAGGATTGTGAGAAAAAGCTGATATAACCATTCCAAGTACTTAATGGCTGAGAGTAATTCATGTTTCTGTTGGAGTCTTTGACTGCCCTATGTAGTAAGCAAAACCAGATTATCATCTGCATTGTGAAATTTCATACCTGCTTAAATCTGAGCATGTGTGGGGCTTGAATTTAGTATTTCAGGCAAGTGTTCAGTTGCTTGTACAGGCTATCAAGAGTGTCCGTGTACCTACACGACACAACCATCCTTGAGCTGGGTCACATAAGCAGACAAACCCTGCCATGGCATACTATACAAACAATTTTAATCGTGTAGTTACAGTTAATAACCACTCCTAATCAGCACATTTCTGCATAAAGAAAATTGTGATACACTTATAAAAACAGCAGCTGTAACAAAATAGCTGGTGTTTTCATAGTCATAAACTCATAAAAAAGAAAGACACCTTTATACAGAAATTTTATACAGATGTCGCTTTAAAATTGATTGTAAACCAAAGGAAGACACATTGCAAACATCAATTATTTTCACATTAATTGCATAATTTTCTAAGGTGATCTATTAGTTTTATTTACCTAAGCTTATTTGCATGATAGTAAAAATTGCATACAACAACAAGAGTGAAGCTCCTAGAGTGAATTGCTTGGATAACATAGACTTTTATAGGCAACCGTGTAAAGCACATTTTCTCTATTTAAAACTTTTAAGACACTTTGTTTTACTGCCCATCAAAATACAGTTATAAATAGAAACGAAATCAGTATGGTAACAAGAGAAGCAACATTACATTTAACAGAAACTTCCAAAAACTTAATTACAACATGATGCTGCAGGATCTACAAATAAATAACAACGACGAAATTGTGTTTCACATTTTCTTTTCCTTAAAAAAATCATGTAACAATGAGAATGAAAAGAAAAATTAGTGAACTTTTTATTTCCAAAATAAAAAACAAATTTTAATTACGGCAGTGCCATATAATACAAGGCATTTGTTGGCATATGTCATCTTTAAACTGCATTCCACAGTCTATAGTTCTTTTTTTTTAACATACAATCGAGTAACAAACTCTTTTTTTTTCCTTTTTCTCTTTAAAATAAGGGGCCAGTTTCCAAAGACCAGTGTGGAGTGTTACAGAAACAAAGGAAAGGTAATCATAGTCACAGAAGTTATAATGCTTATTGGAGGCTCCAGAGTAATAATAATAATTAAAAAGGAAAAACCAATCTCTGGCATCATGCTGACAGGGCACACACCGCGGTGCAGCCCCTGAACACAAATCCTACCAACAGACAACCCTGGACGCTTCACTGGGGCTGCCACGCAGTCCGGAAAACGGTAAGACCTTTCGTGCTGTCTGTCCAGTCCTCCCAGCCTCCTGTTTTGTGCAAGTTTCTGAAGATCCGTTGGCCAAAGGCTAGCCACGAGGTGGGCTCCCATCAGTAAGTACCGGCGGGCGGCGGGGAGCCTCAGTCTTTCAGGTCGGCGTTCACGTCTGTGCCCGCCTCGGCCGACAGCTCCTCCTCCAGTTTCACGGAGAAGAGCGTGTTGGCGTTTTTATCCTGGATGCCGCCGTCTTCCAGATCCTTCAGCAGCTCCTCCTCCTTGTACTCGGCCACGTCCACCTCCAGGCCGGAGTTGTCCTTCAGCCGGCCGTGGTGCTTGAGATAGTACCGCTGGTTCTGGAAGAACTTGATGATGGTGTACTTGGGGAGGTCGAGCTGCGCCGACAGAGTCTGGATGGCCTCTTCATCCGGGTACAGGCCCACGTCTTGGATGAAGCTCTGAAGGATCCCCAGGGCTTCCACTGAAATCTTGGTTCGCGGCCTGGTCTTCTGCCTGCTCTCCTCGTCGGACTCTGCAGAGGAGGCCACCGGGGGCTGCCTCGGGGGCAGCCTAGGGCCTGCCTGGGGCTGAGGCTGCGGCTGTGGAGGGGGAGGCGGCGGCGGCGGCTGCTGCTGCTGCTGCTGCTGCTGTTGCTGCTGCTGCAAAAAGACAAACAAACAAGCAAATGGTCAGAGCTGCTGCTCAGAGCCCGCTGGAGTGCGCAGAGGTGCTTGCCCAGGCCGTGCGCAGTGTCTGAGAAAGAGCAGGCCGGTTAAACAGCCCACAGTCTTTATCAAATACACAAATACACAACTGAGCTCGGAGCGGGGCGGCTAGGAAGCGGGTGCAGCTCGCAGGGTAAACTGGGCTCATTTATCCGCGGGTCTGAGGAGGAGAAAAACGGCTGGGGAAAAAAATGTGAGCCTCGCACTCTCTCAGAAGGATTCTCACCCAAGGAGGCCAGCATAGCACAACATGATGTCACCAATTAACAACGACTGGAAAGAATCCTTCTCAGACTGCAGAGGCAACCAAGAAGGCTACTCAGCCACCGAGAAAGCAGTGTGCCTGGCCAGGCTGCATTCTGTGGCTGCCCCCTGAGAACAGCACAGAAGCAGCTTCCCTCATTCTGCACACCTCTTGAAGGTGCCAGAATGTTCTGTCAGACAGTTCTGATTCTCTCTCTTACACACCACACACACACACACACACACACTTTCCTACCAAACTGCACTAAGCTAACACTACGTTTTTTTCCTTACCCCCACCAAATAAAGGTTCACTCCCTTCTACACCAGCTGGCGAATTGTTTTGTCTATAGTAAACTACGATGTGATTAGGCTTTAAATTTAATATATACAGACACTTTTTCATAATTAGGATCTGCATATGTGCTGCAATTCCTACACACAGTTATACGTAACAAGCGTGTGGCATGTGTCTACTGTGCACTCAACACCCATGACTCTCTGTAGCCAAGTCCATCAGCCCTGGCTGCTCAAAGAGGCGCTGTGTTAGAACTTTGTCCTGTGCTTACGCATTTCCCCTTATCCCCCTAAGAAGCAATTTTATTAAAAACAATTTACATTTTCAAACAAGTACTATTTTTATTACCTAACATACATCTTTCTTGTCTTTGTTTTAGCTGAAACAGTCGGTTTTTCAGGCTTTCACAATTATTTTAGTGCTTAATATCCTAAGGGGTTCTCTTTCTCAATTTGTTTTATCTTTAATAAATACTCAAGATTTTTTTTCCTGGTAGAAGGATAACTCTATTATTTTAGCCACAGATACCTGTATTATTCACAGACAGCAATACCAGGAATGAATGTGGGTGATTCAACAAAGATGTTAGGCAGGTTTCTGGGACCCTAGAGGCAATGCTATGTCCCTTAAAGGAGGAAGCTAAAATCAACCTTCAGATTTAGCAGAAATAAGTTACACAGCTCAAATTCAACTAGAACATGTTTAAATTCCTGAAGCCAAGACAGAGCCCCAGTATGGTCTGGTCCACACCCTTCAATCAAGTTCCTCCTGACAGCTGGCTCACACGGAGGCTGTGCTCCACACAGGCCAAGGGCAGCCAGTGTGTGCTCTGGCCAGAGCCATGGCCAGGCCGTCACTGTCCTTCACACATCTGAAAGCCTGGCTCAGGGAGCTGGCCCTCGCCACATCTCTTTTCCCTGTCTCCCGGCACAGGGGACTGGTGCCCGCTCACCTGAGGGGCAGCACTGGGCCATGGTGCGGGCGTCAGCAGGCCTGGTAGGAAAGAACCTCTAGACTCTCCTCTGCCAAGGGTGCTGGGAGAGGGGCTCTACAGAAAGACAGACAGACATGACTCACCCTGTCCTGCCCTGGGGTGGGTGGAAGACTGAGGTGAAGGCAGGGTGAGGAGCATAAAGTAAGACAGGTTCCCCTCCCCTTCACTCTGGATAGAATCCAAGGAATAAAATGTGTGACTGTCCTCGACTGTCCTCTGCAGCACAGTGGTGGGTCCTTTCCTCCAGGGCAGTATGGCTTTAGTTAGAAAAGCAATGTTTTCAATTTGAATTCTTAAAAAGCCCACCAAAAGATATGTGCTAAGCTTTTGTAATCAAAATCCAGTGCTAACCAAGATACCTTACTAAACTAGCAGTCCTAAAAGGGGTTTGATCTCTGCCACATCAGAGTAAGGAGACTACAACACCCCAGCCGGAAATGCTGTATCTGTCCTCCTCTTATCCCCTCAGCAAGACGGCAGTGTGCTGTCTCTCCTGTAGAACGCCTACACACAGTGGGAAGAGAGAACCACTGATTTCCCTCTAAGTTGAAGGCTTTGTTTATTTAGTGCTGCATGGAACCGGCCAAGGTAAACGAACCTGAATCTGTTCTGCTGGAACATGGATGATGTGGGGTGGCCTGTCGCCATGGTGATGCACAGCATTGCTCTCCTGCTCATAGATGGCATCGCGCTCAGGCTGAGGAAGACTGAGGAACCTGCGGATCATAGACAGGTTCTCCCACAGGGTCCTGTTTTCTGGAGACGGATCTTCCTTCCAGCGCAACAGCTCACACAGCCACCCCTTAGGAGGAGAGGGCGACATGTCAGTCAGTGCTCCAACCGTTAACATTCTCACCCACTCATCACACGCCAGCCTGCTTTACTTTTTCTGTTCTTTAAATCCACTGTGACACGATAGCTGTAGCTATAGGGGAAGCAGGTTCTGTTTCTGACCAATGTACAGATTTACATCTTGATGGGCAGATCCAAGGGTTGGGGAGATGGCTTAGTTGGTCAGTACTAACTGTGCACCTACGACAATCTGTGTTTGGAGCACCCATATAAAAGCCAGAGATGGGGGACAGAGACAGACACTAGGGGCTTGCTTACCAGACAGTTTAATGAAAACGGGGACTTCCAGGTTCAATAAGAGACCTTAAGTCAAAAAATAAAGTGGAGAACTACAAAGAAAGACAATCAGACATCAACCTATCACCTGAACACATGTACACGCACACACACACACACACACACACACACACACACACACACACACACACACACACACACACTAAAAGAAAGTAGGGACAGACATTTTCAGACTCCAAGAGTAAGAGAGCACTCATCGGACTCTGCAGTCAGAGGTGAGGGTAGGTGACCAATCTTCTTGTTTGCCAGTGACCACTGAGAGCAAGTCAGAGTTCTAGAAATAAACTGTCCCCAAAGGCTTTCCTAAGCTTACACTTTCTGTGGAGGGGGCAGATGGAAGCAGACAGACGGACAGACAGACAGACGTGGGGCGGGGGAGCACCAGTGTGCATCAGTGCCCACATGCTTGGACGTGAATGCATTTGGCTTTATTACCATGGACATGAGGAGAGCTCTTCAACAAGGGCGTTTCTCAAAGGGAACCTAGAGTCCTGTTTCTCTGCCCGCTGTAGCACATGTATATGACTTGTCAGGCAGGAACTTTAATAAGTTTCCAGGGTGAAGAGTAAAGGACAAACTCACTCAAGGCCCCAGTCTGACCCTGTGCGTCCTTAAAGATTTGATTGGCTGGATCAGAAGCAATGGGGTAGGAGAAAGAGAGGGAAAGTGTCCTACTGGAGCCCACTGGCCAAGACTGCCTCCCTTTCAAGCCACAGCACAACTTGCTGACAGCTCACTGCACTGACTGGACACCCCGGAAGGCAGCGCCACCCCTCACTGGCGCCACCCCCCAGGTGCCCCGTGACTGACATACAGACTGGGAAAGAGTCTGTCCTTTACCGTTGACAGCATTCCCCAGAGATGTTCTTCCTCATTCTATCCCCCTAGTCTCAACTCAGGCCATCCTATGTCCTCCCCCCTCCCTTTCCTCCCTCATTCCTTCCACGGAGGAAACCCATCTGGGGTCTGCTTTTGGGAAACTGCTCTAAAGTTAAGGGCTTTCTTGGAAATTTCTAGGGAAGCTAGCTGGATAGGGCACTGTACCTCTATTATGTGAATTGTAGATCTATCCAGAAAGGGTTCTGCTTTTTATGTTACTAGGAGATGAACCCAGACAACTGTATGTCTTTCTATTTTCGAATTAAATGGGCCATTCAAAAGAAACTTCTACTTGTGATAATGGTGAAAGAGAGCAAGGCCTTCCTCTCCTGAAACTGGTCTGACAGACTGATTGTCTGAGAGACTGCAGAAGAAAAGATGGCGGCTGACACATTAGCTCCCTACTAGCCAGCCAGAACACCCACGATTCTAGGTCAGTTATACAGGCTTTGTTATTGCTGGTTTCCTTCTGAGTTCAGTATAAAACTGGGTTACACGCACACCAGCCAAGTGCCTCTAAGAACATTTGGATCCTTTAACATTTGTTTTTATTAAGCAAACACACACACATATGAATGATCATGTGACAATGCTGTCATTCAATGCCATTGAACACACAGTTCGAGATGAGAAGGGGTGGGACACTGAAGATTTAATTTGAAGGACCAGCCACTGAAAAGGAAACTGACCAAATCTCAGTTGTGATGACAGAGCCCTGGAGCCTGCCTCTCACCTGACCGCAGAGCCTCTGTCAGACTGCTGGGAGATGCCAGAGCTGGGCTCTACTTGAGCAAATAGAACATACACTACGAAGCTGACAATGAGTATTTGCAGTGGTCGAGACACACCTGCCCTGGAGATATTATTTAGTTCTTACGTGTAAACTCTTGCTATTTGGAGCGAGTCATAAAAATATCATCCATTTTCCCAGATCCAAGCTATTTCCTTACACCGTGTCTCTAAATTATGTTACAGGATAGGTATTGGATATGTGGCCATCTCCCTGGAGGCTTGAGTGCAGAGTGATTAACTACCTTTCCTAACTACCTTGATCTCTGACACGACCTGGATGCCTGGGAACATGGTCTTATTTACCTCCCCAGAGAAGTGAGAAGGCTGGAGAAAAGGCTTCCTAACTTGGCTGGTCCCTGTGAGTACTGAACATTGAGCTGCTATCATTTTAATTTTTTTAGATATAAATATATATAGCTGAAAACTGCCAAGAGTTAAATTAAGAATGATTGGTGTTAGAAAAGCTTCTCGGAGAATGCTGAAAACACTGATGGTCTCTCATCCTTCGGAACTTCTACAAGGAAGGCAGAGATCACTTGGCGCTGGGATATAAGTGGAAAACATGTGGATCACAGATGTTCTTTGGAAAAGAAAATCATTAGTTCTTTTAAAACAACTAATAATGACAGCTAATTCCTAAATAATCGCACTCATGCGGGTTTAACAAATATTTCAGAAAGAGAAGTCTGACTCATTCAACAAACATTTTGCCTACATTGTCACTTCTGTGTCTGCGCTTCCCAGACAGACCCTTATTTTTATTAATTGCCCATGACTAACGTAACACTTCCAGTACTTTGCCATTAACCCCTGCCCTTAAATAATACTTCTAATTTCTTATCTAAACATAATGTGATGAATCTGAAGTTGGAGCTCATTTCCGCCTTTTAGAGACAGGGCCAGGCTGAAGCAACTAGAATCAGAGGTTTCGTACAGAAATATCTGACAGTGCATCTGGGAACTGTTAGAGCACTACAAGGGTGTTCAAACACGAGAAAGAAGACAAAGGGGCTGTGCTTGTGTGATTGTTAAATAACGGGAAACACACATTCTTGACACCTCTTTTTTCTCCTTTGTCACAATAGAAGCAGACTTATAAACTCCCAATTAGGATCGGCAACCTGTCTTTATACTAACTGTAGCTACCTCAAATCCTACTGCTTTTCACTCCATCGGTCATGACGTACTCTATGATTTGAAGAAAGGAACTAAAGAGGACATAAATGCCTTCTAATTTCCCAGTACCATTTCTTACACCAGTTCCCTAAACGTTAGAATCTGGGAAGGTGAGGCCTGGACGCTGCTGACATCGGGCAAATAAAACTGAGAACCCCCCAGAAGTACCACAATGCTCAGGGGAGAGAGAGAATAATGAAAAGCAGTGCTCTGCGGTAAAATGTGAGCTTTATCCCTTTAGGGGAGGTCTCTGGGACTGGATGAGCTATGCACAGAAGGCAGGAGGATCAGGGAGCTACTCTCAAAATTAAATGAGATCGTAACTCTTTGAACAGTAGAAAAGATGGAGGCCCAAAGAGCCTTCATCAAATGATGGAACCAAGGAGCAATCAGAAAACTAAAATGGTACAAGGAACAACCTAAACTTTAAATGGAGTAAATTTGCCAAGCAACATCACACTGCATCTAATGAGGGCAAAATATAAACAGTAACCACATGTAAATAAATTAGTACAAGTTTCAGAATGTTACTACTTTTCAAACTGACAAAGTTTAATTTGACACCTTCTGTTCCAAACCCTTTGTTTCTATTCAAAATCACGCCTTGAGCTGTTGCTACCAATCACGGCACTCCCTATTACTTAAAAAAAAAAAAAAGGAAAAAAAAAAACCAAACTGGCATGGACCCCGAATAAGTTGAAAATGCCATGCAGATAAATTCTGAGATAATATGTTCAAACCTGTTATATACAACACAAATCCTGTAAAGTTATGTATTGTAAACCTACATTTATTGAGAACTAAAAGTCTTAAATCCATCTGCCACAAAGGAAATACTGTTACATTCTTTATAGTAACCAACAACCATCTGCAAACGTCTTGCCACCGTAAGCAAGAAAGCCGTGCAGAGCAGGCTAACGGGAAGGGGGAATGAGGAACAGTCTTTTGACGGGTTTTGGTTTGGGATCTAATAAGGAAATGTAAGATCAGGGGAGAAATGGGAAAGAGAAAAAGCAGAGTGACTGCCAAACCCATGTTACAAAAATCAAAACAAACTCAGTGACAACACAATGGCAATTTATTATGGTCCATGAAACACACGACTGTGTGCTCATTTTAAAGGAAAAATTAGCAGTTCCAAACTCAATATTCTAATGATGTGCTTGCTGACAAGATCTTGTTGTGCCACATTTAAATAAAAATCCTGGCACCTCCGTCTCTCAGCTGCTAATTTCCAACCAAACTCAATCTCTGATTTCCATGCCATTCTTTAGAGCAATGAGTTCGAGTCAGTTCAGTGCTCACATCTTAACACAGACGGAGTACCCAGGGACTCTGAGGCAGAAAACCAGTGTCCCCTGAGAAATGTACACAGCACCTGCAAATCCCCCATACACAGACATGCTTACAAGGCCTGACCTGGGACAAAGCTGGAAGTTCCTAACACAACTAGTTTTCAAGGGGAAAACAGACTTTGATACCATGTGGTGGGGGGTACTTAATGCAATATGCATATGTATATATAATGCCATTACGCACATATACATTTTAAAACTAAGAGCTATAAAGAGAGAAAGAAAAATGACACGATTGCCTGCAGCACCTAAGAAGGAAAATACATTAAAAAAATCAAATGGTAATTTGAGTTCTAAAAGGCAAAACATTTTAAAGTTTGCACCTATCCCCCCACCCTCGTCTTTTATGTGTTATTTGCGGGAGTATTTTCTTCCAATCTCTGGGGCATATCGTGTAATATATGATATTAAAAGAAATCAATCTAAATAGGAAAGTATTTGATACAAACAT